GCTTCAGCTTCTACTGCTGCTACTGGCGTCCCCGTGACGCCGCCCTTAACAGTACAGTCTTAGCTCAGCTGAATCCCATCTACCTATGCCCACACCCTATTCCAGGTGCCCGCCATCAGGCATGCATTCAGGACAAGGATCCATCATCTATCCTGATGGCGGAAGGGCAGAAAAGCCTCATATTTTCTTTACCCTACACTTGGAAATTGGCAGTTTCAATCTATTGAGGGCTGAGATGAGAGAGTGTGTCGGGGACCTGAGAGAGGAAATGCATGGAATAGCTATTGCACAGAATGGGATTGGGGTCAACAGGGATGAGGTGGATGAGGGTGGGTAGCAGTGTAGTCCATCTCAGGACAGGAAGCAGCATTTGTTACAGCTTTGAGTCAAGTGATGGAATGGCTTTGGGAGGACCCACAGACTGAGAACAGGAATGGGGAGTCAGTTGGAGTTGGACCTGAAAAAGCCTGTAGTCTCTGAAGCCCTCTGAGGCTGAAAATCAAGTTTAACCTAATCTAGGGTGAATGAGAGGTAGAAGAAAGGTGATTAAGGGCAGAGCAAAGGTGAAGCAAGCTTTGCCACCAAGGAAGAGGACATTTCCTCCATGAGAGTGTGACAGTGACATCAAAGGGTGGCAGAAACAGGAGTCATAGAAGAAGGGACATGGGGAGATGCTCAGATGTCAGGTGGGCGGCCGTCAGCAGGGAGCTGATAGTGATGGGACAGCAGAGGACAGACTAAAGCTGTGAATGAATGTGGGGGCGTCTCCAGGGGTGTCAGAGAAATAGGGACAAGTATGGGAATGGGCAGCCCATTGGCAGAGGAGATGAGCATGTCAGGGACCTTAGTAAAATATCCTCAATGCAGTGCAGAGGGGAGAGTGTCATCCCCTGTTGTGGGCCTGAGGGTAGAGCCTCCCTGCTCTCCCTCTGCCCCTGCGGGGGTGGACAGGGAAGTGGTGTCCTTATACTGTGTTCATCTGAGCAGAGATTTTATCTGAGCTTTTATAAAAAGGCAATGTCCTGTGTAGGCTAAAGAATAAGAGACTGAGTTAAATATATTGGACAATCTGAAAATATACCCCCAAAAAGCTTTTTATATAAAGTAATTAAAAAATAGACAGCCCAATTAAAAAAAACAGGCAAAAGACATGACTTCACAAAAAAAGATACACCATTGGCAAATAGGCATATTAAGGATACTCTACATTGATGTCACCAGGGAAATAAAAATTAAAGCAATATTGACATGCTACTACATACCATTAGAGACCAAAATCTAAATTGAAATTACCAAAAACCAGTGAGGATGTGAAGCAGCGCGACCCCCACTCATCACCAGTGGGAATGCACAATGGTAGAGTCACATTGGAAAAGAGTTTGGCAGTTTCTTATCATACTCCACATACTCTTACCATCTGATCCAGCCATCACTCTTCCTGGTATTTAACCAAATGAATTGAAAACTAATATCCAGACAAAAACCTGCATGTGGAAATTTATAGCAATTCATTCATAATTTCCAAAACTGTAGCAACCAAGATGCCCTTTAGCAGGTGAGTGGATGAATAATGTAGTACATCCAGACAATGGAATATTTCCAGGCCTAAAAAGGTAAGAGTTATGAAGCCATGAGAAGACATGGCAGAGAAAGGCATGCATATTACCAAGTGGAATATGCTAACGGCTATACAATGCAAGCTCCAGCTAAATGACATTCTGGAAAAGGCAAAACTGTGAAGACTCTAATAAAATCAGTGGTTGCTCCAGGGAATTAAAGGTGAAGGAGGCATGCAAAAGGATATTTAGGGCAACGACACATTTCTGTATGATACAATAATGGTGGATATGTCATTACACATTTGTCCAAACCCATAGAATATCTGGCACCAAGAGTGAACCGTAATATGAAAGGTGAACTTCGGTATTAACAATGTGTCAATGTAGGTTTATTGAATATAATAAATATGCTACTCTGGTGAAAGATGTTCATAATTAGGGATGCCAGACATAAGTTAGAACAAGTGTTTTATGGGAAATACTTACCTTTTTTGCATAATTTTGCTGTGACCCTAAATTACTCAAAAAGTAAAATATGTTTAATAGGAAAAATATCACTGCAAATCAGTACAAAACTATCCACAGTAAAACCAGATTTTTTTTAATGAGTCAAAAGATATTAGGAGTCTGCCAGTTTGGGAGGCTTAAGTCTCAGTTTGGTGTTGTGGGTTTGTAAGTCACTCGATACTGGGCTTATTTTTCACAGTATTGTACAGAGTGATTTCACTGTGCAACACTTATTCATCTCTCCCTCCACCTATTCCCTGACTTTCACTGACATTTTCACTATTTTCATAGTTTTGTCTTTTTCCATATCAGATAGTGGAATCATAGACAGTTTCTTTTACTCAGTGATATGCATTTATGGTTCTCTCACATGTTTTCAGGGCTTGATAACTTTTTTTAGTATTAAATAATATTCCACTGTGTGCATACCATAGTTTATCTACTCAACTATCGAAGGACATCTAGGTAACTTTCATATCACTAGAAATGCTACAAACCTCCATGTACAGATTTTTGCATGGATGTTAAGTTTTCAGTCATTTGAGTAAAGGATTATAATTGCTGGACCTTATGGTATCTATATGTTTAGCTCTACAAGTAACTGCTGTACTGTCTTCCAATGTGGCTGTATCATTTTGCATACCCACCAACTGTGAAAGAGAACCCTGTTGCTCCACATTCTCACCAGCATTGGGGCTTGTCCATGTTCTGAAATGAGGCCATTCTAACAGTTTCATAGTGATAGCTCATTGCTGTATTAATTTTTAATTTCCTAATGACATATGAGGTGGATCTCTGTGACATATGCCTATTTGCCATTGTATTTCTTTTGGTGAGGTGTATGGTCAAATCTTTTGGCCATTTATAATTTAGCTATTCATTTCCTTATTTTCAAGAAGGTTCATAAGGAGGACTCTTAAAATACCACATAGCTATAAATTCCATAGCCTTGAACATTCAACATAGAAGATTAATATTGGCAATTTGAAACAAAGGAAACTCAAATGCTTAATGATTACAGCATTTTGAGTCTATTGGCAAGAGACTGTTGGATTAGTTTGCATCATAGATTTTACAGATTAGGAAAAATCCAGGGTCAGTAGGTAAAGATGAAGCATCCATGATTAGAGTCAAGGAAGAACCCGAGAAACTCAGAGGAAGTTGTATAAGCACCTGGAGTAGGTGGGACGAAGCTCACATAAGAGTTTGAAGAAAGAGTAAGAGTTAGTGTTGCCAGACGTGTGAAAGGGATGAGTAAATGTGAACGACAATGTTTCCCCTGAACTTAATAAAATCATCTCAGCAACACCCCAGTCAAAGGTATTTCTCCTCCTGCATTCTCTATCTCTATCAATGGTGTACTCGTCTATTCAAAAGGGACACAGTGCTGAGATATTTCTGCATTCTTTTTTCAGTATGGAAGGGACTTGCAAAACCATGGGAAATCCCCTTATGAGGTTTGAAATGGTCTCCCCCTGTTTGCACCTGACCCATTCCTTCTATTCTCTCTTAGGTCTGTCTCAGGAGAATGACTCCCCTACGCTGATGAACCCAGTATCCTCTGCTGTCAAGTTTTCTATTGGGTCAAAGAGCCAATGGCCAAAGAGATCAGAGGGAAGGAGGGACAGGTCAGGGTGTTCCTTGCCAGGTTCTGGCAATGGCTGCATCTCTCCACTAGGGGTCCCTGTCCACAGGCCAGCTCCCTGGCTTGGGTGAGGCTACGCCTCCTCCTGCCTTGGGAGGCCTAGGCTGGTAAATGTTCCTGCTGCTGCTCTTCAGCAGCTGCCTCCCAACCCTTGCCAGTCCTTTCAGTTGGCCCACAGGCTTCTCTGAGGTGACTTTAGTTGAACTACAGAAATGCAATTGTGATTCTGCCAGACTCCAAAAGGGGGTCTGAGACACTAATTGACACCCCCACAAAATCATTTCTCCATCTATATGAAGCATGTAAGAGTAATAACATGTGACTATTGCCTACTGCTATTAAGCTAATGATGCCACAGCCCATGTGCATCTTTTAGGTATAAGCAGCCAGGGTGGAAGACAATGATTACACCTGGAAAGTCTTCATCAAAATATCAATATGGGAGGGGGCACGGGGAAAGGAGGGATTGGGGTCAGAATAAAGGGGGTGCAATTGTGTGGGGAATATAAAAATAAAAAATAGAAAATTAAAAAAATTGTAAGGCAATAAAAAAAAACAAAATATCAATATCTTTTACATAGGGAAGTGTGTGTGTGTGTGTGTGTGTGTGTGTGCACATGCTAACTGAGGGAGAATTTGTCCTACAGATTTGTAACTATGAGGAGAGGCTACGATTGAATGTCATAATGGGCCCTTTAATACGTGTCCTCAGAGAAACTGCAAATGATAAAAGCTGTTGTGTCTGTTGTTCCCAAGTGGTGAATAAACACAGTTCAGATGCACTTTTCTTCTACTCAAATAAGAGTTGCCCAACTCTGAGAGCCACAGATTTCCAGGCAGAGGAAAAGTGGCAGAGGTTGGAAATGGTACAGGGAATGCTCAGTAAAGGAATTTGGAAGTGAAAGGGATGCAGAGAGAGTACAGCCCTCTGCTGGGTCTCTGTTCCTTGAACGAGGTGGTATTAGGGAAAGATTCATCACAGATGAATTGCCATCATAAAAAGAGTCAAGCATATCCATAGATGAAAGGGTGAAAATATCAGTGAGAGAAAGACAAGACAGACAACCAGCTATGGCCCGAGGCCTTGAAGGCTTAGGAGGCCGGCAGCCCGGTGCACAAGTGGACAATTGACTTCATCATTTCTATGTCCAGTCAACATGCTGAGATCAACAGGTGTCAAAGAGGTATTTATTAGCAACTTTCTACATTTGAACTGCCTCCTTCCCCTTTTCGCACCACCTCTCATCTTCTTCGGCTACCAGGTGACTATGGAGTCTTTGATGTGGTTCTTATGGAGGAAGAAGAAGAGGGTTGTCCTCCTGGGCTGGTCCTGGGCACTCAGCAGAGCGTTGTTCTTTGGAGGGGAAAGGTAGCACCAGCACTGTCTCCTTCTCAGGCCCCATGAAGAGGAAGGAGATATCCACAGGTTCTCCCTGGGGATTCCTGGTTAGATCCAGATGCACAGGGAAGGCCTCCACAGGAACACTTTCCTGGGACCCTTGGGGCTTCTCATCACCTAGGTCCGGGAGGTATTGGACAGATCCTTTTGGCACTGCTGTGGCTGGTGCATCAGTGGGAGCTGACTTTTTCTGCTGGGAGTCTTCCACCTTGGGCAGTTGCACAGGACCCAGGTTAACAGCAGAGTTTTCACCACCAGGAGTAGGGGCCTGAAATAAGAACATTTTCAAATAAGAGATTGCCCCCCATTTGAAATCCTTGCTACACCTATTACCAGGCTAAGCTGTCTGTGCCTTCCTGATGGAATGTTTTAAAGAGAGACCAGCTGTAGGGATGAGTCTTTGGATAAAGGATTAAAAAGTAAGACCAGTGAGGGCCAGGGGAACCAAGACCTGTAGAAGCTTGATAGCAAGTCATGCAAACTCAGAGCTGACAATGGGCCAGGAAGGTCAAATGACTTGTTCAATACCCAATGAGCTGTCCCCCTGTTCCCAGCAGCGGTAGCAACAGCCACCTCTAATTAATGGCTTAATTTAGTTTTGTTTAGAAGTTAACTACAGTCCCCTCCTCACACTTGTTTATCACAGGATCTGAATGAGAGAGCTGTTGCGATCTCATTCTATAGAGGAACCCCTGGCTCACAGTGGCAAACTTGCCCATGATCACACAACTCACAATTGGGAGGACTGGAGCCCAGGTGGCTCAACTCAACCATCCCTTTACTACACTATGCTTACTTCAAGTATGCGCTGAGTAATTATTGTGGAATTGATTGAATGCCTTTTGGAAACAACTAACCCAACAGGTATGCATAAGCGTTTAGGAAACTGAATTTATGCTACAGAGGCCTGAGTCATCCCAGCTAGTAGGTCCCTCTTTCTAAAGGAGTCTTATTTATTCTGCAGACAACATTGTTTCTGCAATGTTAGAAACAGATCTTTTACTAGCTACCTTGTGGGTGTGGCTTTCAAGCATTATGAGTAAAGTGGTGATCATACATTTTAGGGAGGTGAAAGGTAAGGTGAGCTAAAGGTTTAGGCACAGCTAAACACAAATATATCTTATACATATTTATAGATAATTTACATATGTATAGTTGCATTTCTTCTCAGCAAGACAAATATATTGAAAAGTACCTGTGATTTAAAGAAGTCACATGTCACAGAGACAGGCTTTACTCTGCTACTTTTTATCAGAGAACCTTTGCAAAGGCCAACAGCCTAAGGCAAGAAAAAATACAATGAAGCATGTTATGATTATCTATTATTTTAAATGGAAAACAGTTTGATTTTCGCTCATGCAGACACACAACCAATCAACATTTTTATGTACCTGCATGCAATAGGCAGGCTATCTGTTAACTCCTGCAAAATGATCCTTAGCAAATAATCACATAAAGTATACTAAGTTTCTCAATGACAAGAAACTAAGTGTTTTTGGCAAACAAACTCTGATTATTAGAATTTAGTGTGTGTGTGTGTGTGTAGGAGAAAATCTGTGTAGTTCTGCTTCTTGACTTCAAGAGCACTGAAGAACAATGATCTAGAATCCACCACAATATGTTTAAACAGATGGTCGCAATGATTCTCTATTGCCTATCTCCAGGTCATACAATGAGCAGGTTAGAAATTTTTCAGGCATGAAACTCCATTAAAGTAGGAAGTCCCTGGGGAATGGAACATAAGCCCTTCCCTTCTCCTGTTCATAACCAAGTCACATAAGGGAAGGGCTCTAAGAGAACATTCTGGAGAGAATCAGATACCACAGTAAGTATAACCTGGCCACTCCGATTCTGTCTAGGATTTACTGAGTTACCAAAATTCATAGACTTAGCTGTTGTACTAAATATATGACTATAGAGTTTGGGGACACATACGCTATGGAAATTGGTATGTTTCTCTCTCAGAACTTTTTGAGGTCAGGAACCTGGTTAATTAGTCTACCTTAGTGTGTAAGTGGAAAGAACAGAACAAGGAAGGCTATTTCTACCTTTGCTATAGTAGAAACATACAAGGGTTCCATGGGAAAAGCAAATATCATGGTACAGCTATTTTGCTAGTAACTACCAGTGGATGATCTTCCAGAGACTAAATAGGGGAAGAAATAGTTAACACAGAGGGGGTTCCAAGGAATCAGGAATCTTAGCAAGGAATCTTGCTAAGAAAGTTGACTCTCTGGATGAACCAACACCTGTATCACTTAAAAGAACCAGCAAGAGCGCATTTCATAGAGAGCCTATGGAGAACAAGAGAAAATTGTAAATGCAAGTTTGTTATGTGAAAGACATTGTACTCTTTGTCTCTAATCTTCTTAGAACTTGGAAGAGCAAAAGTAAGCAAAAGATAGAAGAGAGGAAGCAAGAGTGAAACAGATCTTGACCACTTCTTTACAGCAGAACTTAAGTTCTACATCCACCTTGAGCTACAGAGGGAAAATTTTTTGATTGAATTAGAAATAAACGTTTGATTCAGAATTGACTGAAGAAAACTTTTTTCATATATGAAAGTTAATCTTAGCTACCTAAGTGAAATTTTCTTCTAAAAATGACTAGAAAGAGATGAAATCTGCTCAAGATGTTATTGGCAAATGAGAAAGGTCACATAGAAGAGAGTGAAGAAATTTCCCTAATTATTTCTTGAACAAATTGAGAATATTCAATGGACTGATTTCAAAGGTTTTTTGAGAGTACATTTTAGATTCAAACACACACACATAGGTTGAAATTTAAAAAAAGATGGAAAGAATATACCATGCAACAAGAATCAAAAGAAAGCTGGAATGGGCCTCCCTGGTGGCACGAGGGTTTAAGACACAACCTATGAAGCTATTCACAGCCGCTGCAGGAGGAGTTCGATCCTGGCCAGGGAGCCACCCACATGGCACAGCAGACCTCTCCTGACTCGCTCACTGTTCCCTTCAGCAGTGTATTTCAGTCAATCCACCTGTTCTGTTCCCCACTCTGTCTCTGGTGAATCCTCTCACCCCAGCACCTCTGGACTGTACCCCAGTTGTTGTATGCATAAATAAATAAATCTTTAAAAAAAAAGTTGCAATGGTTATACAAGTATCAGGTATAATTGACTCTAAGACAAAACATGTAACTAGAAATGGAAATAGTTTTATAATAATAACAGTATTAGTTTATTAGGAAGACATAACTAGTTTTAAATATATATGCAGCTAACAACAAAGCAAAAACTGAGAGCATACAAGGGACATGTAGGCATATCTACAAAAATAATTGGAATATCCAGTTTGATAGAGACTAGAATAAGTATGCAGAACCTCAAGAAGGAAATAGAAGTGTGAATAACAATATAAGCCAACTAAAGTAACAGCAGAATATATTCTTTCTCAGTGTACATGGGATATTCTCCAAGATGCACCTTTTACTAAAGTATACCATAAAACAAGCCTCAATAAAGTTAAGAGATTTGAGGTCATGCTAAGTATGTTCTCCAACCATGGAATAGTAATAGAAATGAATAACAGAAAGCAATTAGAATTTCACAAATATGTGGAAATGAAAAAATGTGACCGAAAAGTGCCAATTGGTGAGAGAAGAAATCACAAAGGAAATTAGAAAATACTTTGAGTTGAACATTCACAACTTCAGATGTGAATCTAAAGCATTACTGAAAAGGAAAATTTCTAGCTGTATAATGCTTACGTTAAAAAAGAAAATTAGCCATCTGTAACCTAAATCTCTCCTCTATTAAGCTAGAAAAAGAAAAAAATTAAGCCCCAAAAATTAAGCCCAAGAAAAAGAAGGCTGTAATAAATAATAAGGAAGAAATAAATGAACCAGACAATAAAAAAGAATAGACAAAATAAAACTAAAAGTAGGGGGTTTTGTAAAGATAATAAAATTGGCTAAACATTAGCTAGACTGATGAAGATAAAATTACTTAAATTGCTAACATTAGAATGGAAAATGAAACATTACTACCAATCTTTCAGAAATAAAAAGGATTCTAAGGGAATAATATAAGAACAACCTATGGTCCTTACAATGGTGGCAAATTAGATAACTTAGACATATTCCAAGGAGGAGAAATGCTATAAAAATTGAGGAAAAATAGACAATATGAACAGAACTATAAAAAACAATGAGTAGTTTTTTTTGTGTGTGTGTGTGTGGGGGGGGGAAAAAAAAAAGTCCATGAAGAAAAGTCCAGGCTCAGATGACTTCTCTGATGAATTCTAACAAACATTTAAAGAAGAATAACCACACCAATCAGAGTCTCAAAAGAATGAACACACCAATTCAGAGTCTCAAAAATAAAATAGAAGGGTGAAAAAATTGTCTAAGTCATTCTATAAGGTGAATATTAAACTCATTAAAATCAGGCAGAGACCACATCAGAAAACTAAAAAGACCAATATCTCTTATGCATATATTTGAATAATCTTAACACAAAAATACTAGTAAAGTGAATTCAGCAACATTTTGAAAGGATTATACACCATGACCAACTGGGATTTATCTCTGAAGTGCAATATTGTTTTAACACATGAAAAACAATATTGTAATGTGTAATACTCATATATTAAAGGTGAAAAGATTCACACAATTATCTCATTAACTAGGAAAAGCATTTACATACTCCAACACTGTTTCTTGATAAAAGCATTTAACAAACTAGGCATAGAAAAGAACTTGCAACTCTGATAAAGGGCATGGAAAACCTACAGTAATCTTTTTATTAAATGATGAAATACTGAATGTGTCCTCCCTAAAATCTGGACTAACATAAGGATGTCTACTACCCCCATTTCTAGTCAACATTGTACTGTAAGTTCTACTCAGGAAAATAAATCAAGGAAAAAGAATTAAAAGGTGTGCAGATTGGAAAGGAAGAAGTAAAACACCAATTTGTAGATGGCATAATCTTGTATATAAAAAATCCCAAGGAATCTACCAGAAAATGATTAGATGATCTCATCAAACTTATAGCATAGAAGACAAATCTAAAAAATAAGTTTTATTTCTATACACTTGCAATGAACAATCCACATGAAACTAAGGAAATCATTCCATCACATTACTACCTGAGAGAATAAAATATTTAGGTTCACAAGTGAAAGTTCTGTAGGCTGAAAACTACAAAATATCATTGAGAGAAATTAAGTACCTCTGAAAAATGTGGAAAGAGCTGTTTTTCCTCATGTAGATTTGTTTTTAGGTTAATTTTTCTCACTTTGAAAATATCAACATAATTCAACTACAATTGAGTCTCTATTTCACATGCAGTATTACAAATGTAACTGGACTTTTTTTTACATAAAATCAGAACCATTAACACCACTGAGAAGATTCATCTATATTTTTGAGTCTCCTAAGATCATTCTTTTTCAGAGGCATCACATTGTTGATGAAAATTCTCCTTACAAGCGAATAAAACCTTATTAATGTGTGTGGGCCAGCACAATCTCCAACTAGCCCATTGTTTCTTGAGGTGAACAAAAGCATCTCATGCATTATAAAACCTCATGTGTAATTTATACTAACAAATAAGCCTGCTAAATATTTCTCACGTGTGAACACAAATCTTAAATTCTGAAGAAATTCAGAGATACTCACCTCTGAGTCAGGAGACTGATGCGTGCAGCTGCTGGCCTGGGATTTGGTACAAGGTGCCTCTTTGATTAAATATTCCACAGAGTATGAAGGTCCACCCACCCACTGAATGAGACAATAGTTGAGAAATAAAAATCAGACTTTCCACATGGGGAACTGTTGATTGGCAGCATGATTTTTACAGAACCATACACGCCCAAGTTGGGTTAGCACGGGTATCCCAGTGTCTATGTAACCCCACCATTATCAAAGCATGTAACAGGATCCTGATATGTAGAAAACAACCACCACACCTCCCTCCCCTTCTCAGGATATAAATGGACACTAAGCCTTCACTTGGGTGACCTATTTTTCCTCAGGTAAATGTATTTTTAGATTGGTTTTCCCCATTTTGATAGATAGCAACATAATGCAAATACAATTGAGCCTCCATTTACTTCAGCATCCACTCCCAACCCTAATATGACCAGAAGCTGACTTGTTGAATGGCCCTCGGTCACTCAGATCTGAAATGTACCAATAAACAGTGACCCCAAGTAGGGAAACCAGAGACTGGGTTTCACATTTCCCTCCCTGCCTTAAGGCCAATGAAATAAAGGAGTCACACACTTGTGGAAATCCCATGAATAGCTCAGACACTGAAACACAATTGCGCAGGCATCAGGTATTCCAAGAACCCAAGAGGCTGCTTATCAAAAGGCACCCCTCACAGCCTCCTCTCAGCTCTGGCTCCATGGCTACACACGGGAGACTCACTGTTGGTGTAATCTCCAGGGGCGTTCAGTCTCACCTGGCGAGAAACCATGGTGATTTTGACCAGAGAATACTGCTTCGAGGTGCTCTCACTGTTGTATTTTGCAAGAGACTCAGTGGCAGTTTCCAAAACACTGGGATCTGAGAAGTCACGGGAGACAGAACCACCAAGCACTGGGCAGTCAGGGCATGTTCGAAGAATGCTTCTTTTAGAAACTGTTGATTCCAAAGAGAGCACTTTTAATACAAAGCTCCTTAATGATTTTTTTTTTTTTTTGTTAAAGATTTATTTGTTTATTCATACAAGCACTGGGTACAGTCAGAAGCGCAGAAGGGTGAGAGAATTCACCAGAGCCAGAGCAGAACAGAACAGGCAGACTGACGAAATACACTGCTGAGGGGAGCAGCGGGTGGTAGGAGAGGTCTGGGCCCCATGTGGGACCCTCGCCAGCGGCTGGGGATTGAACTGTCGCTGCAGAGGCTGCAGGCAGCTTCGCAGCCCAGCGCTCAACTTCTGCGCCACCGTGGGAGGCCCTCCTTAATGATTTTTAATCCTGTTAACCATATAAACACAACAGAGGCAAAGACTGAAAAAAATAATAATAATACTAAATTTCAGCAAAGATGCAACAGAAAAGGTATTTTCTGGGGCCTCCCTGGTGGTGCAAGGGGTTAAGCACAGCATTATGAAGCCATCTGTAGCCTCTGCAGCACGAGTTCAATCCCTGGTCAGCCAGGTAGCAACACACATGGCACAGCAGACCTCTCCTGCTTCACCCACTGCTCCCCTCAGCAGTGTTTTTCAGTCAGTCTGCCTGTTCTGCTCCCCACTCTGTCTCTGGTGAATCCACTCCCCCTTCCCATGACCCCCCACCACACCTCTGGCCTCTACCCCAGTTCTTATATACATAAATAAATAAATAAATCTTTTTTCAAAAAGAAGAAAAGATATTTTCTGGATAGAACGCTGCCTGGATAAAAAAATGAATTTTCTACCATGTGCATGTATTACTTTTGTAATTAAAAAACAGTAATATTTTCTTACTTCACATATATTTATTTACTCTAGGAATTTTATTTAAAAAACATGCTATATGTATTTATATTGATATAAACATTTTTTTCTCAACTAGTTAAACATCTTCTAAAAGCATCGCCTCTAAGTGAGACTGAATATCTTAAACGCTTGGGATTTTAGTACTGTCATGTCTTACTCACAATTTGGTGCCTAACACCAAATATAATATGTTCCATGTTTACCAAATGCTCATTGAATAAGTGACTGAATGACCTAACAGAAGGTGGGTGCATACCTACCTTGGTAGAAAATGCAAGTGAACCAGAAAAACAATGCTCAAATCACCATGATATTGGATAGTATAATTACACTAATGGTACAGTTAGAATTTCTGATTAGGTGGAAATGGGGCTGGCAATCCCTGTGTGCCAGTTAGCTAGGGAACTTACCTTAACTTGTTTTTAGCAGCACAAACACATTGGTTTTGTCAACTGGAATCATCGCCAGGGGTCACTAGCTCCATCCTCATACCTTCGGTGGCTACATGTTCCCACTCTTAGTAATTGTTCTCTAATTTATTTTTAGGAGACTCATATGTTCACAACTAGGAAGCTTAAACGTGGTAAATAAAATGTTTGCTCCTTTACCTTGTCCTTCCATGTAACCAGCCACACTGTTATCACCTGAAGCTTGTTTCAAATACAGACACTCAAGTCAGCACCCCAGACAGAGAATCAGAATCTGCACTTGAACATGATCTAGCAGGGGAGAGCCATGCACATAATAACTTGACAATTGGTCATATCCTATTTCCTGGGTCTTGGATGCTGATTTCCCAAGAGGCCCCAGAATGATTGACAGTACATACATCAAAAATCATGAACCTTATCCTCATTCCAGAACATTGATACATTTAAGTGAGTGTAAAGATTAATTTTGGACTTCTAACATGTGACAGTGAGGAAGACTTGATAATTTTTCATTATATAAGGAAGAAAATGGAAGTAAATCAATGTATGGTGTGAGCTTCAGGAGTGGGCATATTAAAGTTTTACTGGGATGTAGAGAGGACAGCACTAGTCATTTCTTGAACAGAGAACATTGTGGAAGAGGTAGCTGTGTCAACAGTGCTCCCAGAATGGCTATGAGCTCAAGACAGAGGCTATCAGGAGAGGCATCCTCAGCAGAGGGAGCCAAATGAGCAAGAAGCCCAGGCTGGAAACTGTAAGGTGTGTTCAGAAAGCAGGGAGGCATCCAGCTGCGTGGAGTGCAGAGTGGTGCAGTCACAGAGATAGCCACCATATCTTCAGACATGGTGAGAAAGGGCACCTGAGCACCAGATATAGAAATTATGACATTTGTAACAGACAAAGAGTTAGGATTTCATACCCATGCTGAGTAATTACTGTGGGTGATTGTGGAAGTGGGAAATGCCAATTCTGGGTATAGCAGGAACATGGTCTTGGAATGAATAGATAGTAAGGAAAGGAAAATTCCTACACATGTGGGCATTGCCCTATTTAAATGCTTTTGCCCTTATTTTAGTAAAATGAACAAAATCAAATGAATATCTTACCTGGGCGAAGAGTACAGTTATAAGAAAGTGTATGGAGAATTCTAGCTGTCTTGTGCATATAAAATAATGCTTTGCATTGACCATAAACCTGGAACAAACACATGCATTTTATGACATGGAAGAAGAGTCTAAGACTTAAAAAAAAACAGAACCCAAAGTGAACATTTTATTTTTAAGTTCTGAAAATCTGAAAGACTATTCTGGTGGCTTTGACTATGGGAAACCACCAGCTGATTATCAAGCAGTTTAACCTACTTCTGGGGCACTGCCAGACCTCATCCCCCACGCTCCTTCCTGGTCCCGCGTGACTGGGCACAACTGAGTTGTAACACAGGAAGGTGAGCGGAAGTGACTGTAACCACTGCCAGGTCGGGCCCATGAAGACCTCCCCTGAGCCATCTGTACTGCTGCTGGTTCTCTTCCCAGAGCTGAGGCAGATGTGCTAGTAATCCCAGAAGCCTGGACTAGGAGGTGGCAGAGTCATAGCCACAAAGCAGAAAGACCCCTGGTCTCCTAATCACTCATGGAGAAAACACCTTCTTGTTCAGACATTTCTGTTTTGAACTTTACATGAGTAGGAAACAAACTTCTGTCACTTTTAAGTCTAGTACACAGCTAGTACCTCCTTTAAAAGTATTAAATTTTCAGGAGGGTAAATAGATTATTTGCTTTTCAAAAGTCAGCTTGGATAGTGTGATTAAATGATTAGGAAAGATATCTTAAACAGTTTACTAATATGATCTTGCATTCAAGTTATAAAATTCTTATTAATCCGTGGAGAAAAACCACTGAATAAGATTAAGTATAAAGTAAGACACTTATTCTGTGATTTTCAAGACTCTTCAGTGGTCATCTTTTAAAGACTCAACTCTGAAGCCCTTTACTTTCCATTCTAGTCAGTTCTCCCATGAAATATCTGAGAATTCTATCCTGCTTCCCTCTCTCAGCAACAAACCAACATCAATGCTCATTAAAATAAAATCAAGCAACATAAACCAAATGCTATCCCATCATCATTCATACAGTTTCCTTACACCCACAACGGAGGACTTCACCTCAGACCTTTATTTCAGAAGTTAAACACTGGCTTAGCATCCACAGGACAGTACTGGAGGTAGAAAATAAATTGGGGCAACTTTCCAATTCTGGGTTTCACAATCCCAGTGGGACTCTCAGAAACCCCTCATAACATGAGTTAAACCTGTATTCTGGTTATAGAACTAGAATGACCGCAAGGCACCATGTCCAGGAGATGATATTAATTGGCATTTAAAAGATGGTGCACCCTGAACAATCTTTACCCCAAAGCTAGAGGACACCTCTTTTCTCCCCTGGAGTCCCTGGACACACGCACTTACTGAATGGAACAGTGCTCTCCCTTTACAGTCCTTCCATGACTTCCTGCTGAGCACATGGCAGTCAGTCTCTATCACGTCCAGGGTGAGATAATACAGAGCTGCTGGTCCATCCTGTAGGCAGGGGTGGAGAAACAAACATGAGCAGCAACCCCTATAGACTGCCCCCAAATTCTCTGTTTTATAGCAAAGTCAAGGCTAAGATGCCTGTCAAAACTTCTCATCACATCTGCAATACTAGACAAAGGTAGCGATTAGCTTTGTCTCTAGTGACAGTGAGAGCATTGCAGACACAGCAGAGGAGAGCAGAGCTGCTCAGCAGCTTTCAATTTGGAAAGCACCGGCAACATGTGTCCCTGGTCCCCAACCCTGGCCAGCCCAGCGAGCACCTGCCCGGGTAGGGGACCATCACTTGCCTGTCTGTGTTCACGGACATCGCTCACTCGGTTGAGGCTCAGCACGTAGCCATCCTTGCGGTCCCTGTTGATGTCCCCCAGGGCAAAATTAGCAAATGACAGCACATCTGAGTCATTGCAGCCACGGGAGAGTAAAGGCGATGGGTTGAAAACTGGCAGGGGTGGAGATGTAGCCCCAGAGCCCACAGCCAGGGCGCAGAGCACCAGGGGCAGGAGCAGACCCATTCTGTGGGGAGCAGATCCCAGGAGGTGGCGGTACAGGGAACTGCAGAGAGGAGGCGTTATATAATGCTCTGTAAGGCCAAGCAGAGGTGTTTTGTAATCACAATCTGAACCTATGATTTGAAACCAGTATTCGAAACATGATGTCCCATTTTTCTCCTTGAATAATAAATGTAGATTTCCCTGAGTCAATACTTTGGAAAAGGTTTGCCAAATTTTCTAACCTTAGGTCCCTGAGCAATCTCTATTAATGTGTACACGTAAACAAATTTGTTTCCTAATCTTTTCCTAGGAAATCCTAATAAACACTGACGTCAAGGCTACTGGTTGGTCATGATTGGATTCTGCTGTGTCCAGGGATCCGCCTGAATCAGAATATGACGGATTCTCACACCCTCCCTGGTTCCCTTGCACCTCCCTCCAGCTGATGTCCTCAGCCACTCAGACTAGTCTCAGGCTTGGGGCCTGGGGTCTTGGTGCCAGTGGTGACAAGTGTGTTCCTACTTCCTGCCTGATGCCCATGTCACTGTTCATGTTAAACGCTCAGTGACCAACATGAGGCACCACAGAAAGTACTAGGCTCTTTGGGTATCTGACTAAAATTTGTTCTTTTTAGCCTTATTTGGGTTCTTTTCTTTAAACAAAGACCTATTGGGTCAAAATGAAGTACATGGCATACCAATAGCTCCCAAATCACATGCTAAATGTACGTTTCTTTCTCTGGGGCTCCATGGTAACAAATTCATAAATAGGTTAAAAGCTATGACCACTGTTGAGAGATCAAGACTGGAAGGTGGCTGGAGCACCAGTTTCTACGGGCGTGGTTCTGAAATGATGCTGCTGTCTTGCTGAAGGCCTCCTTCCCTCAGAGGTGCTGGTTGTCATGGGTTTCACTATAACAAAAGGCTTATTACTAGTTCCACCCTAACCAAGACATACCCACACACTGGTCAAAGAAAAGAAAGGGTATTAACACTGCCAAGAAGCCTCCCAAAGTCTTGTTAGCTGGTATCTTCAACCTCATTTATTAACGGTGTCACCCCAAATCATGTGTCCTTTCCAATACCTTACATGTGGTGACATCTGTAAAAGTGACAGTGGCAGACCTGACTACAGGACACACACTCATGCAGAAGTTGCAGGTTTGGCACATTTTCTTTCAGTGGAAGTTCAGATATAATTCAGTTCCTTCTTCTCTGGATTGTTCTTAATGTTGGGGATTAAGGAGACACTAATGAAGAAATACAAAGGTTATGGGTTGGAGGGTGGGGGAAATGGGTGGTGTTGATCAAAGGTACAAACTTTGTATAGGATGACTAAGTTGTGAGGATAATTACATCCATGTGCAGCACAGTGACTACAGGTAGTGCTGTATTGTATGCTGGAAAGTTGCTAAGAGAGTAGATCTTAAATGTTCTCACCATGAGAAAAAAGAAAAAAGTCTGTGAATTGTGGCTGTATTAACTAACTTGATTATGGTGATCATTTTGCAATAAAATATATATCAAATCAGCACGCTATAAATCTTCAACTCACACAATGTTATATATAGTGTATATCTTAATAAAGTTGGGGGTAGGATGAGAACAATACCATGGTAACCAAATGATCAAAACTTACATCACCAATGGGAGAAACAGACACCACGTGTTTCTTGATGATGCACTGAAGACAATCTCACATCTCTGTTATTCCTGGGGAGGGGGGGGCAGGAATGGCATAACAAATCTAATCATGAAGACTGGAAAAACCTGAACTGATGGACATTCCACAGAGCCATTAATTAGCTTGTGCTCTTCAAACACGTCCATTCATGTTACAAAAACAAGAGTTTGAAGGGATATATGCATTCCTATGTTCATTACAGCACAGTTTACAATAGACAAGCTATAGAAACTACCCAGATGCCCAAAGACAGATGAGTAGATTAAGAAGATACGGTGTACACACACATTGGAATGGGACTCAGCTATAAAAAAGAAAATCTTGTTATTTGCGATAACATGGATGGAATTAAAGGGGGGTAATGCTAAGTGAAATAAGTCAGAAGGACAAAGACAAATACCAGGTGGTTTCACTTACATGTGGAATATAGAAAACAAAGCAAAGGGGGCCTCCCTTGTGGCACAGGCAGTTGAGCGCCACACTGTGAAGTCCGCAGCCTCTGCAGTGCGGGTTCTTTTTTTTTTTTTTTTTTACCATTTTATATTACTATCTTTATTATATAAGAGCATATACAGAAAGATATATTTTATTTTTTGAAGATATCTTTAATATTTCAATTCCAAAATTTCATGAATTTTGAAAAACTAGATTGATCAGAGTATCTCAATGTGGATTTATTTATTTATTTTTTATTGATTTTTTTTGTTTCGTGATTATTTTTTTTTCATCTTTTATTTTTTAATTTTTTTAATTAATAATAAATTTTATTTTTATATTCCCCATACAATTTCAACCCCCCCATTCTGACCCCAGTCCCTCCCCTCCTGCCCCCCCACCTCCCAAAAAGTGTCTCTGGTTCATAGTGCAGGTTCTATCCTGGCCAGCCGGCAAGAATTAAACATGGCGCAGCCAGACCTCTCCTGTCTCGACTGCTGCTCCCCTCAGCAGTGTGTTTCAGTCAGTCTGCCTGTTCTGTTCCCCGCTCTGACCCTGGTGAATCCTCTCACCCTCCTGCGTATCTGGTTTGTTATTTTAACAAATAACATAGAGTGGGTGACTTAAACAAGGAATTATTTCTCAAAATTCCAGAGGTTAGAAATCCTTCCCTAGAATTTCAAGGTCAGGGGGGCCGACATGGTTGGGCATGTGAAAAGGACATTTTCTGGGTTATAGACAGTCGCCTTCTGCTCCATCTTCATGTGGTAGAGAGAGAAAGTGATGATATTTTCATCTTCTTTGGACAACAGTCCCATCTACAGGGATCCACCCCAATGATGCCATCCAACCCAGTCATTGGGTTGGAAGAAAGAAAGAAAGAAAGAAAGAAAGAAAGAAAGAAAGAAAGAAAGAAAGAAAGAAAGAAAGAAAGAAAGAAAGAAAGAAAGAAAGAAAGAAAGAAAGAAAGAAAGAAAGAAAGAAAGAAAGAAAGAAAGAAAGAAAGAAAGAAAGAAAGAAAGAAAGAAAGAAGAAAGAAAGAAAGAAAGAAAGAAAGAAAGAAGAAAAGAAAGAAAGAAAGGAAGAAGGAAGGAAGGAAGGAAGGAAGGAAGGAAGGAAGGAAGGAAGGAAGGAAGGAAGGAAGGAAGGAAGGAAGGAAGGAGGAAGGAAGGAAGGAAGGAAGGAAGGAAGGAAGGAAGGAAGGAAGGAAGGAGGAAGGAGGAAGGAAGGAAGGAAGGAAGGAGGAAGGAAGGAAGGAAGGAAGGAAGAAAGAAAGAAAAGAAAGCAAAGGGTCAGACAAAACTGAACAAAAAAAAAAATAGCCTAGAAATCTGACTGTAGAATTGAGGCTACCAGAGTGGAAGCGGGAGGGGCTGGGGCAAAGTGTGGACGGAGTACAATGGACTATAGTGGAGAACTACAAGTGTGTTGGTGGTGGGTGTGGTGCAGTGACATGCATGTGAGCCACATGGTGTTGTAAACCAATGTAGCCTCAATTAAAAAAAAAAAATTTAAAAAAGCAAAAAGAACAATTAGGGGAAAACATTACCAAAATATAAATTAATAAACTCTAGAACCAGGGCCTCCCTAGTGGCAAAATGGGTTAAGATGCAGCACTATGAAGCTATCTGCAGCCACTGCAACACAAGTACAATCCGTGGCTAGGGAGCCACCCACATGGCACAGCAGACCTCTCCTGACTTGCCCGCTACTCCCTTTCTGCACTGTATTTCAGTCAGTCTGCCTGTTCTGTTCCCCACTCTGTCTCTGGTGAATCCTCTCACCCCCAACACCTCTGGCCTGTACCCCAGTTCTTATATGCATAAATAAATAAATCTTTTAAAAAATTAAATAAACTCTCAAACCCTATTGTTCTAGAGTAAAAGAGATTAAAATGACAATACGCAAATGTCTTAGATATATCTTAGGATGAGGTAGAAAGATTGCTTTAAGGAACAGCATTGGTACAGTTGGGAGATATGCACATGAAATGCAAATTGTATGTGTTAAAAGTTTCTGAATTTGAAAACCAGACAATGATTATGTAAGCAAATGTGTTGTTCTTAAGAAATAGCACTGAAGTACCTTGAGATCAGGAGGAAAGTGCATGAGATTTGCAAGTTATTCTTTAAGGGTTCAGGAAAAAAAGTATACTTGTGTATGTGTGCATTTGTGTATGAAAGAAGAGGCAGAGACTGTGACAAAATATCAGCAGTTGTTAAGTCTGGACAAAAAGTGTATGGGAAGTATTTGTACTACTGCAATTCTTCTGTAATTTTGAAGAAAATCAAAATCAAAATTTATAAATACTATAATGATTAATATTTGCTCTAAAAGTAATACATGATAAAGATCAAGAAGCAGGAGATTAAATTATCATCATTATTTACCATAAATAGTCAATGCTATGGACTGATTGCTTGTACCTACCCCAAAAAGTCTACTAGATGAAGCTATAAATCCCAAGGTGATGGTATTTGGAAGTGGGGTCTGAGGGAATGACTGGGTTGGATGGCATCATCGGGGTGGATCCCTGTAGATGGGACTGTTGTCCAAAGAAGATGATAATATCATCACTTTCTCTCTCTACCACATGAAGATGGAGCAAGAGGCGACTGTCTATAACCCAGAAAATGTCCCTTTCACATGCCCAACCATGTCGGCCCCCTGACCTTGAAATTCTAGCGAAGGATTTCTAACCTCTGGAATTTTGAGAAATAATTCCTTGTTTAAGTCACCCACTCTATGTTATTTGTTAAAATACTCCAAGCCAACTAGCACCAAATTATAGGAAATCCTGACGATAATGTGATGTCCCCGTGAGAGTTTACATTTTGGAGCCAATGCTTATATAGCCTGAGACATTTCCAGCAGCAGCATTCTCCATGGATTCCAAGATTCACATTCCCACTAGCATT